GAAGTGGTGGCTGTCCCTGGTTCCCTCCAGTGTTCCCGTCCTCTGTCGTTTTGCCAGAATCCTCAGCCCACTGCTCAAGGAGGGCTCTTCCTGCCAGGAGGTCCTGGGTCACCCAGCGCCAGGCAGAGTGCTTCTGGTGCCCAACCATCTCCGGGGAGGGGGTGTTGCCTCCCACAGCACAACCTGTCTGCACAGGCTCCAGGCCCCTGGGGTGTTCTGGCACTGGCAGTGGGGCGAGGGCGGCACGTGGTCGGGTCGGAGGGCACTGCCAGGGCGCGCGGGGTGGGAGGTGCCCACCCTCTCCTGACCCCCTCACCAGCTATTGGAAAGGTCTCAAATCTCCGGTTCTTAGCATCGGAAAGGCCTGCCTGCCCGGAGGGCTGGGGTTAACCGCTGTTGGTGGGTGGGGGCGGGGGTGTTAGGGCAGCTCTGAGTCTATGGTCTGGTTTCCCCTGGTGGGTGGAGGGATGAGGGAGGAGGGAGCCCTGAGCTTCTCCCAGGCTGCACAGGAGCCTGAGAAACCTTCCAGAATCTGCTCCCAGACCATGACTCCTGATGTGATCTGATGTAATCTGATGTAGCCGGTGCCCCGGGCTTCAGCTACAGAAAGGCCTGGAAATGACCTGTCAGTGACCTTGGCTCTCAGAGGTCCCAGGAACCACATTAGTTGACCACGTGCAAGTGGTGGGGTCCATCTCTGTGGTCCTGACCCCCGCCCCGGGGCCCATCTCTGTGGTCCTGATCCCCACAAGAAATCTGCTCTGTGGTTTTGACCCCCTGGGGCCCTGATCTGTAGTTCTGACCACCCCCAGGGACCCATCTCTGTGGTCCTGAGTGCCCCCTCGGGGCCTGTATCTGTGGTCCTAATCCCCACAAGGGCTCTGCTCTTTGGTCCTAATGCCCTCAGGGCCCGTCTCTGCGGTCCAGCCCCTTTTTAGGGCCTGTCTCTGTGGTCCTGACCCCCCTTCAGGCCTATCTCCGTGGTGATGGAAGAAGTTATCTTCTGACCTGGAGACGTGTGAGAAAGCAAGATTTAGAATCCTGTGCCTGGGCCCAGGGCATTTGCACCTAACCCCCCGTGGCTGGGCCTTTATCCTGGCCTCCCTGGTCCATCCTCACACGCCTTCCAGCAACACAGCTGTGCTATGGGCCCCCACCTCAAACCTGCTGTTCTCCGGGCCACCTGCAGAACGAGCCGGACTCTCGGGCCCCCTGCACCCCCCCTGCAGGGGCTCAGGCCGTCCCTGGCCCCCACCAGCGCCTGGTCTCACCTACCCCAGGCTTCCCACCAAGGTGTCCCTTCCCTGTCCTGCCTCTCATCGCCTCCTGTGCCTGCCCAGCTCCAAAGCCCCGTCGTCCGGACAGAGCCTGCCCCGCCGCTCCAGTGGGGACTGATGTGATGGTCCCATCTCCTCCGCAGGAGGCACAATGACAGTTTGGGCCCCGCAGGTCACCCAGGCCTGGCATCCCCCGCGGGACTCTGACTGAGCCGGGCTGCACCCAGTGAAGTGGGCACTGACAGCATTGCCCGCTGTGGTCCCCTCAGAGGCTGTGCGTGCCAGGAAGGAGGGAGGGAAGCCCCCCAGCAGGGCCGGGAGCAGCTTGTCCAGGGGAGGGGTTCAGAGGGACCACACAGAGGCAGATGTGGACGGCAGGCCCCCGGCAGGGCTGGGAAGAGAGAACGGGGTGGGGGGGGCATGTGCTGCAGAGGCTGGTCATAGCCCGGGGCGGTGGGGGCAGTGGGAGCAGCCACTCCACAGACTGAACGGCGGGCACCAGTGCTGCCAGCAAGCCCAGCCCAGCCCGAGGAGTCAGTGCAGCTCTGTCCACAGCGGGACCCCCGACTCAGCACCGTGGATGCCTGGGGCCCGGTCACTGTCCTGGGCCATGTGGGGCCGGGATACTTCCCGGTGCTTGGTGACAGCATCTGCCACAGGAATGACAACCCAAACACGTCTGCAGACGTCGCAGGTCAAAACCACAGCAGGTGAGAACTCGGTGTTGGCCAGGCCGCGTCCCCACACAACAGCCTTGTCCAGGCTGCCTGCCCTCAAGGGTCTGGATCACCAGGCGGGCCACCGGTGGGGCTGATGCTGTTTACGCTCTGCGCGGAGCAGACACACCTGCCCTTCGAGACAGCTTCGGGGCGAAGCCCCCTACCAATGAACAAGCGAAAGAAGGGGGAGCACGAGCAGGAGGCATCGCCCGGCCCTCCGCCTCCCTGGCCCCGAGGTGAGGTCGCCGTCCAACTTTGGAAAACCCCTCCAGAAAGCCTAGGGCAAGAGCAGGTGTGAGTTCACGCTCGGGAAGAACCAGAAACAGCGGTGACGCATCAACGCCTGGGCAGCCACCTGGAACACCTGGACCGAGCCCTGCGCGGGTGGGGGCTGGGCGCAGAGCAGGGACGCGGGGCTGGGCCCCCGTGACCAGGGCACCGCGCTGGCCCAGCACAGGGCCAGCCCCAGGAGAGGGCAAAGGTCACAAGTGGCCTCTGGCCCGGAGCGATCCTGAGCCCCGCCCACCACCGCGGCCGCTGGAGTTACTAGTACTGCTCTTGCTGACGGCAGCAGCCAGCGGCTGAGTGCAGGGGGATGGGGCGGGGGAGGGGAAGGGATGCAGCAAGAGGGGGCAGCTGGCGGCGGCTCGGGGCCCAGCTGTAGTGCGCTCGGCCCGGGCTGACCAGATGCCCCAGCTGATGTCCCCACATTG